GAAGGGGAGTAGTCCTATGTGGTCTGGCAGAGTCCCTGCTGTGACGATGAGCTCGGTGACCCTGGGCAAGTAGCTTAAATGCTTTGTGACTCAGTTTCCCTATCTGGACACTTGGGGTAATACGGACAGTTTCTTCAAAGGGCTATTTGAGATGATGAGATACTCTGAACAGGACCTCATACATATGTGCCCAGTGGTTGGCTGTCACCATGGGTGTCATTACGGGGGGCTCTGGGGCCGGGTGGGAGGTGGGGGAGACATGGGTGGAGCCGCACATCCCCCCACATCACCTCTCCAAGCTCCTGAAACAGCTCGCTCCCTGGGATTTCAGCACAGAATTTCATCGGAGTCTTTCTGCTTCCTGCCCATGAGACCTGGAGCAACACAGCTCCCTAGCATGTCCTAGTCTTAAGCAATTTTTTCTAAAAAAAATATTTTATTTATTTATTTGGCAGAGAGAGAGACACAGCGAGAGAGGGAACACAAGCAGGGGGAGTGGGAGAGGGAGAAGCAGGCTTCCTGCTGAGCAGGGAGCCCGATGCGGGGCTCGATCCCAGGACCCTGGGATCATGACCTGAGCCGAAGGCAGATGCTTAACAAGACTGAGCCACCCAGGCGCCCCTAGTCTTAAGCATTTTTATAGTTTCATTTGCACTATTTGCACACTTGCATTTGGTAGAGTCTTATTACATACTTGGATTGAATGAATGTTTTAGGAAAACCATTACTTAAATTACTAAGAGAGAAATGAGGTTGCATAAACTCTCTGATGTCCTTCTGGGCCAGAAAGCCAACAACGGAACATGACATCCTTAGGGTGTATCTTAAGAGTGGCCGTCCAAGTTCGATCTTGTTTCGTTAGCAGATAGGGGCTTATTGTAGAGCTGATTCTCCCCAAATCTGCTTTAAGGAGACAAAGGGGAGCAGTTGTGATGATTTTCCCTTGCTGAGTCCCTTTTGGAAACACAGTTATATGGCAGAACATTCTAGAAACAAGGGCTTTCAACATTCTAATGTATCTTCTTGGTAATGACTTCTTCTAAGGACTCAGGGCTTGTCTCAGAAAACAGGAGTGTTCAGGAAAGGAGACCCCCATGGTAGAAATGAGGAAAGTTGGAGAATTCTTGCCTTGTCATTTTCCATGTTCTCACACATCCTACTTGGTCTTGCCCTAGTGGAGAATTTTAACAAGCAGCTTGTCACCTCTCACTTTCTGAATTTGTTTTCTTCAGAGAGAACTCCTTACCACCTTTTTATTCAGCCCCTTCCTGACAGGTAGGAACGAGTCAGCGCTTATGGCTGCTGCCAGCAACGCAAAGCAACTCTGGTTAACTCAGCACACAGCGAACTTACTGGAGGGGTGGGCGCCAGGCTCACAGAACACACAGGAAGCTGGAAGACTGGGCACTGGCATGCTGGTGGCCGGGCAGCAGAGCACCACGGCCAGGGAACGCGAACACAGCCCCCCTCAGCCTCAAGGATGCTGCCCTCCCAACAACCCCTCTTTTTGCCTCGTTTGCTCCAGATTCAAAGAGTGTTGCATTGGCCAAGCTTAGGACACGGGTCTGCCCTCAGCGGTGCCAGGGGCAGGGAGAGAAAGGGAAATTGTGGTGGAGGTTAAGAAAGGGAGGATAAGTGGGTTGGACGCTGGATAATCCCTGTCTCTCCCACAACGAAAAGCTACCAAGAAATGTGCAGGTTACATGGAAGAAAAATCAAGTGTACTGAAAGCATCAAACAGCAAGCCTCGTAGATGGATACAAATACTACCCACCTTGAAAAACATCTTGGAAAAATGACAGTGCTCCCCTAAATGAATATGTGGTCCCCATCATCCCAAACAAGATCCCCACAGAACTTTTCAAGCTTAAACAGATTCTAAAATGCACATTTAAGACAACATGCCAAGGGGTGCCTGAGTGGCTTAGTCGTTAAGTGTCTGCCTTCGGCTCAGGTCGTGATCCCAGGCTCCTGGGTTCGAGCCCCACATCGGGCTCCCTGCTCGGCGGGAAGCCTGCTTCTCCCTCTCCCACTCCCCCTGCTTGTGTTCTCTCTCTCGCTGTCTCTCTGTCAAATAAATAAATAAAATCTTTAAAAAAAAAAAAAAGACAACATGCTGAGTGTCCGGACAATATTGAAAAGTAAGGATAAGAAATTTAAAACATAAAACTGGAGTACACAAACTGGTGAAGGGGATGAAGAGGCTCAAGCTTCCAGCTGTGAACTAGACAAAGCCATACAGATGAACAGCACAGCAAAGGGAATATACTCGTGTTGTGGTGACTTTGTACGGTGACAGACGGTGGCCGCACTTCCTGTAGTGCGCATCTTGTAACGTTGATAATTTCAAATCACCCTTGTTGCACACTTAAACTAGTATTGTGTCAACTATACTTCAATTAAGAAAAACTATAGTAATCGGGATAATGTAGATTAAACAAGATCATCAATGGAAAAGAAAAGAACTGAGAAACAGAACCACCTATATGAGAATTGGTGGATGTCAAATAGCCATTTCAGGCTGGTGGAGAAAAGAGGAGTCTTAGCTGTCTGGGGGGAGGGTCGGGGTGGGGGAATAAAGGTAGATTCATACAGCATATCATTAAAAAAAATAAATCCAGAAGATTAAAAATAAAAAAAACCTGTAGAGTTATATGAATAAAATGTAATATTTTTGAAACTTTAGCAGAGGGAAGGTCTTTCAAGATACAAACTACAGAGGCCTAGAAGTAGGGTGAAATCTAACTTCTAAAGTGGTAACAACTACATCAAGTGCATCTCAGGCAGTAAAAAAACACGCGCTGGAATAGAACATACGTTCACAAAAAGATGTGAAGAAGGATATTCACAGCAGCTTCATTCCTCCTGGCCCCAAACCTGGTAAGAGCTCAGGTGTTCACGAACAAGGCAACGGACCACGTGTCATCTGGTCATACAGTAGAATAATACCTGACTTAATAAAAAGGAAGTTACTGATTATAACCTGGGTCTCAAAAACATTAAGCTGAGCAAAAAGAAGCCAGACACACACACACACAAAAACCACGTTATCTGCCTGATTCTATTCAAACTATCCACAAAAACTAATTTACAGTGGGAAAAAAATGAGAACCGAGGTCACCCCTGGGGGTGGGATGGAAGGGATTGCCTGGGAAGCAGCATGAGAGAACTTTCTAGGATGATGGCGATGTTCCTCATCTTGATAGCAGTTTGAGTGACAGCTTTATCCTTGGTCAAAATATAGCAAATGCACACTTAACATTTGTGTTTTATTGTGTGTACATTTTATCTCAAAAGAGAAAATTATTAAAAAAAACCAACTCTAAATAATCTGTGTGCTGAAGTAGTTAGGGATGAGTACCAAGGACTATGGTTTACTCTGGAATGCACTGAAAAGTGAGATGGATTAGTGGATGTATGTGTGACGTTAAAAGAAGTATAGCAAATTGCACAACGTAGAATCTAGGGGGTGGGTGTATTGATTCTCTGTACAATTCTTTCAACTTATCTGTGTGTTTAAAAATCTTGATACTACAATGTTAGGGGAAAATAGCAACAGACTAAAGGAAAGATATTTCAGATACGTTAAGAGATGTTTTACTCGTGCTTTATAGAGCTCATCATCAGCAGAAAAAAATGAAAAACCCCATTGACTGTAAGTAAAGCCCTTGATAAAAAAGGCACATGCCAACAGTATCTGAAAAGATCATGCTATTTGTCAATAGAAAAATCTGAATTCGACTAACAATACTACTCCTCCCCCCTCCAGGCTGATACCAACGTGGGAACACTTGGCGGAGAGCGTTCTCACCTGCTGCCAGGTGAGTGCAGCCAGGTTGGCGACATCTCCCAACTCTGCTGAAGGGGATACCCCACCTCCCGGTACCACCACCACCACCACCACCACCACGCAACCCTCCCTCTTGCTGGCGAGGAGCGGCCAGGCAGCCCTGAAGACCCAGAAATGCCAGAAGCGGGACGCCAGGCAGCAAGCAGCCTATCTGTGTGCACTTGATGCAGAGGTCAGAATGAAGTGGTCACAATGGTAAGATCTAAGACCTGCTGCTAAGTCAGAATCACATGCGAATTACAGCATTTGTAGAAAAAGCAAAACCAACGTAATGTAAATAAACACACAGAGCAACGGAAAGGATCTGGAAAAATTTGAACTCTTGTGTTGGTGTGGACGTAGGACCGGGGATGGGAGCCGAACAAGCTGGGTTTGAAATAAATGAGATCTGAAATAAATGTAGACACACACATATCTATAGTGATGAGACTGTATCTGTGTAACGCTCGCCTCATTAAAATGAAAAACACGAACACATCACCAGCTTAAAACAAAGCTCGGCCCGTCTCACGTTCCCAGCATTTATTTCAGAGAACTGATTATAGAATGGCTTGCTCTGGATTTTATAGCCTAGACCCCGCAAACCAAGTTTTCATTTCTCTGTCAACCCTTAGACCAGTTCCCCGCCACCCCCCCTCCCCCCGCCAGGCAGCACAGCATCCCCAACACTCAGGGAGCTCTTACCAGGCAGCTGGATCTGTTCACACACAGGGCTCCAGACACTTGGCGATCCACTTGGCCCTGCGGATAAGTCCTTTCTACCACAGTCAAACCAGACTCCCCATCTTTTGTTTTTCCTTCCTTCCAACTAGGAGACAGGATGGGATGGCAGGGACTCTGCCCCATCATGAATCGATACAGAGCTGGCTCCATTACCCCCCGCCCCCCACCTCCCCAAGTGCTGAGTCATATTGGATTATGTGGGCAGAAAACTGTGCAGAAGGTCCTGTCAGCCACTTCAAAACTTTTAAGAGTGGTTTGCTTTTAAGTATGCTACAGAGTCGTCTTCAAGCGAGAACTCCTAAAATCTACACGTAGGTAATGCGTCCTGTGACTGATAAAGGGCAGAGGTGTGGGTGTGTATATGTTCATATCTAACCAGCTGTTTCTCCACCACCGCTCTGTGAAACAAATCAAACAGCTCACCAAAACTAGTTGAAAGTTTTATTTATATAAACTTCATTAAGAACATAAAAGATTAAGTTTCTTAAAAAAAAATCTGCAGTTATTTACAGCAGTATTGCACAAGTAAAGTGGCAATTACCCTGTCAAAATTCATCAGTGCAAAACACAAGTAAGCCAGGGAAATCGCAATACAAATGCTACATACGCTGGGTCCTAGGAAACAAGTTAGTGACGGTCCGTATACAGACAGATCAGTGCTATTTATAAATGTGTACCTGATGAGTTCTGATACAGTAACTAGTGGTCACAGAACCTGCACATACAACTTCGGAGAGCTTCTAAAGTCTGATTCCCAAATAAAAGTAGTCAAGTTACCTAGCTGGGAGCTTGAGGATGCTTCTTGAATACAATGCCATTGGGAGCAGGAGTCCCCTCTGCTGGTTTAGCGTCACGTGTGGACCCATCCCTGCACCCACGTGAGCGGGGAGTGGACCACACAGGCACCAGGCTAAATCAGCAGGGATGCCAGAACCATCTACTGACATGGGGCCACTAGGAGGTCTCTCTAAAGCTTCTGCGAGCTTTCACATCTTAACATCCAGTCGAGTGGGACCCCCAACCTCTCTCGAAGCCAACAGAGAAGCAGAAGGAAGACAACCTGAAGCAGGCTGATCAAAGGTAGGGACCAAAGGGCTCAGGGCTGGGGGTGGGGGTCTGTACAATTAGCTCCTGAAGACCATTGAAGTCCACACCTCAAAGCACAGGACACAGCGGGTGGGGGATAATTCAACTACTCACCAGTTGCCAAAAAGTGGCATGAGGTGGTGTTCCTGACGTCCCTCTCAAGGCAGGAGCAACCTGGCTTACCTGTCCCTTCCTCTTGCCCTGAACAACTCCTGGCAGCACCCCGAAAAAGGGGCCCATTTTTATTTCTCTCAACACTGAATTGTCAGGGATACATTTTCAATGGAAAAATCTGTCCCAACTGCCAATAATACATTAAAATAAAATAAAATTTTAAAAAGATATGGCCTGGCCTTCATAGAATTTGCTTCCACGAGAAGCTGGCTATTTCTTGTAGAATTTTGTGGCCGGCCACATTTATGGTCTCTCACTGATGGCTCAACACAGACTTCGTCATCAGGATAGCGAACCCCAAGAACTTAAACCCACGTGACCAGAACTACCAGGAACCAAAGCTGGAGGGCCAGCCTAGGGAAGAGCGTGGGGCTCACAGTCACCACCTCAGAGTTAAAGCAATGAATGGTACAGCATGGGGCGGGGAGCACGGAGGTCAACACTTTTCAGAACATAAGACATTAAATAAGCAGGAAATAAATATACAATATTTCTACAAGTTACAGCATTATGAAACAGTAGGACACATTACACAGAAAAAGAATCTACAATATGTACAATCCTCAATTCTGAAAAAGTTTAGTAAAAACAGTGATCTTTACTCATTTATGCTGTACAAAATTTTACAAGAAAGGTAAAGGAAACACAATTGCACACAGACATTTGGCTCAGTTGGTAAGTAAAATGTGACCTCCTAATCTAATAAATAGTCAAAATATATACAATATCAAGACAGGGAAATAGGAGAAAGTTATTCTCTACGGTGTACACTCTTTTTAATCAGAGGGAAGTTTTGCCTGGTTCCTCCACAACCCCGAGAGCAGTTCTTGGCAAACTCACTTCTGGGCAGGAGTACAGGTAACTGGAAGAATTGCTCATGGGATTCTTTTGCATGTGTTTATTGCATTTCTATGATAAGTCACAGGACACTTTCTACAAACCTCATGGGAGAAGAGGTGGTCAAGGCACAAAACCCGCATTCAGTTTCCAAAAAGGGATCTAGTCTTTTTTTTTTTTTTCCTACAAAAAGTAAAAGAAATACACACTAAAAAGTCAAGGTCTACCACAGTAGGCATACCTTCCGCAGGGAGGCATCGTGATAAACAGATACATACAGTACAGAGACATCCAGTCATCTCTCTTCAGTCCTGGTGCAACATCCTGCTCCTTAATACTACAAATTCATAGAATCTCTAATTTCCTCACAAGCTGCTTCCGCGGCCAGCCTGGACACCAGGCAGCCACTGAGCCAGAGGTACGCCAGCACAGAGCCCTCGGGCACCGCTCCCAGGGAGCCGCAGTATTGAAGAAACAGAGTAAAGTGCTCCAGTCAGAGAGACTGGCACTGAGTACGGAGATCCTGGGAGGGGAGGGGGGAGGCGCCCAGAACCAAATACGTCTTTGGTGTGTGTGTGTGTGTGTCCAGCAGGTCCACCACTGCCTTACAACCGTGTGGACTTCATGACCCTACAGAGGGGTTCGAGACACGTCAGGAACACAAGCTGACAACATAGCTTTAAAAATATTCAAGACCCCAACAAGATTTTGGGGTAAAAGAAAATCCTAAGAAAGGAAGAATATTTGGAATCAAATATCTCTACCTAAAGGAAAATGCGTATATGTTGTAGATATATATATATATATATTTATATAGAATTATCAAGATACAAATGAATGGATTTCCCCACTTGATTTAATCACGTGAAAACACTGGTCCTCTGTGGGCCCAAAGCAAAACAAGAGTTGTTGGCACTGCTGACTCGTTTGAAAAATCACGTTTATCTTTTAAAAAGCTATTTAATAATCTGAGGTTTCAAAATCTGTAAGAGTTATAAGGTTCACGAAATGATCTCTACTTCTCTTCTTTCACTGCTTCCTGATCTCTCTCGGGTCTCTCCAAACTGTTTAACTCCCTTTGAAATGTCAGACCAACTCATGGGCCCTCCATTTGCTGCACCCCTCCCAGGCAGGTGTGGAGAAAGAAAAGAGCGCGCCCAACAGAGGTGGATGCACCAAGGGTGGTCCAACAACACCCACCTGTCCCGCGAGTAAGGGAACAAGACAGACCTTTGTCCGAAGGCTGAGAGGCCACTTCAGATTCGGGCTCCAATGCAGTATTTTTACGGCACGGCTGAAGGCAGATTATCCTTCCTTTCAAAGTGGATTTGGGGGGCGGGTGGGAACCAAGTGTCAGGCATCAAAGGCCAGGTGAACCTGGAGTTGGACGAAAAGCCTCGATGCCCAGGAAACCCCTGCCTAAAGCCCCGCCCACGGCTCGTGCCAATTCCCACGAGGACTGGAGCTCCGACACCTGCAGCCCAACGGGCTCAGCTGCGAGGGGACATGTTCCCCACCTGCGGCCCCTGCTGACAGTGTACCTGTGACCGTGGGAGAGTCTGCAACCAGAGAAGCCCACAGCACCGAGGGGCACAGTACCTGTCTGTGCTGTGACTGGTAGTCCTTCTTCAGAACACTTGTAAATGACAAGCCCATCAAAACCAGTGAAAACCAACATCATGCACATCCCAGTGAGGAAACTACTGACAGACAAGACCAACTGGGCCATGGATGCCACAGGCAGATCCTGACTCACGTTCTGACCCAATTCCCTTTCATCATAAGAATACACTGGACCAAATCTGTGCATCGGCCTCCAGACAGACCAGAGGAGCATCACAAAAGGAGACAAGGAAAAATACACGAAAAGAGTTTTAAAATTTTGCCACAGATGCAACTGAATTTAAGGAGGTAAGTATTTACAAAACGGGAGTGGCATATCAATACAGGCTGATGACAGACCTTCTGCCCCTTTAATCAGTTTCGTTTAAAACTTTTTTGGTATTAATAATAATGATTAAAAAAAAAGCATGTCAAAGAGCCAATGGCAGGGAAGGGAGGGGGCTATCTCATACCTCTCCCGTTTAAAAATTCTGTACAGTAATCTAAAAATAAACTAAGGCAGCTTTATCAATTAGCTGGCTCAGTTTCCACTGCAGAGTTTACACATAATCCTCTGAGAGTAGACAATAGGTTCTTAAAATTTTAGTACAAAAATCATTCACGAGTTGGTTAAAAAGTTTCCATTTCCTTTTTGAAAAACCTGTTCTTATTAAAGAAGGTGGAAAAAAACCCACACCACGTGTAAACACCATTCTTGCATAAAATCCTGCTCCAAAGAACCATGATTTGTACATTTTTTTTTTTAAAGAATCCTCCCTCATTTACATTCACAACAAACTTCCATTGGAAATTCTGCCATGTGGTGAACAGAAAGGTCAAGTCCACGTGCAGCGCGGCGTCCTCAGGAACACGTCGGCCAGCCTCCCCGCACGCCCTCTCGGGGAAAGAACCGCGGGCTGCATAGCAATGGCACCTCTTACACCGTGGTGCTGGGGCCTGTTGGTTTTAACAAGCGAAATGTCTGCACCCATCTGGCTCCGCAAGGAACCCGTCGTCACTGCAATCTCCACACCAGGCGGATGATGTAACGTAACAGTCGTAAGATAATCATGTGGGGGTGGGCTTCGGCTGCTTGGTAATTATTCAAAAAGACCTGAAACAACAATAGGAAAGCTTCTTAGTTTCTCAGCCCTCGTGTTATTTTTGGGTGGGGGATGCCTATATTTAAGGGAACCACCAATCCCATTTTCACAGCTACAAAGGGCACCCCTTTACGAGGGCTGCACCTCCCGAGCATGGGTCCGTCCCCTGAGACTGTGAGGCCGAAGTCCTTCCTACCTCCCCCACAGAGGGAGACGTTGCCACATAAGGAGCAGCATGCCAAATGATCCGCGTCTTTACAGAAACCAAAAGGATGCTTGGAACCGCAAAGACAATCCCTGAATCTGTTTGCCCCTCTAAAAAACACATGTATTCTCTCTACGGGCCATGTCATTATTGGCCAGAACTGCCTCGATCAGGGGATGCTTCAGCCTGTGTGCAGGTGTGGAGGAAAGCCAACCCCCAGGTCACTGGAGTTGGCGTCCCGTGGGAAGAGGTAAGGGTAGAGGGGACACAAGAAAGATGTGAAGGAACTGTCTTCTCACTACCCAGGTTATTAACATTCAAATACATGGACTCCCCCGAGGGTGAATTTCTGGTAGCTGTAGTTTACTTGAGAAACCAGTGATTTGGGGTAATTTGTCCTAAGAAGCTAAATCCAGTGGTGCACAGATGCACCACCGCGCTTCTGGCTGCTGGTGGGCAGCTCCGCTATATAAACATGGGTGGCTCAGCACCGAGTCTATGGTCACACACACAGGCGGAGTCAACCCCCATCCTCCCACCCCACGTGGGGAGTATAGAGCAGTGAAAATTTTTTAAAAAGGCCTCTTTGCTAGTGACCACCATGCTCGTGACAAGCGGAGAAACTGTTCACAAGGCAATTGCTACATTAAAGGTCTCAGAGGTCCTCAGGTCTTCCGGAGGGCCCACCTGTGAGTTCTCATCCATTCTGCAGGTAAGTGCGGGGTATAAATCCAGAGCAGCCAAAGGCGGCAAAGGAACACACCTGCCTCTACGCCAGGAGCTACAACCCATCTCACAGTTCAGGTCTGCAACCTACCCTCATTAAGGTTGTTTCCTTAATGAGTCATCTATGCCCGAGACCAGCTCTCTGCTGTTCGGGGCTCTCCACGAACCCCCTTCTCAATCGGGCAGGTGAGACTTCCAACACAGCATGGTGGAACCACCGGCCACGAGTGGGGCTGGGAACTGGCGTCCCCCGTCACACACAAACACTGCCCGCAGACACCAGCTGGGAGCGGAGCCCCTGCTTGTGACTGTTTACACGAGCTCGCAGGCACTTGTCTGACAGGACGGGATTGTGATAAGGCCCGGGCATTTCCCGTTCTCCTTCCATAACCAGACTGGAGGAAATCGGCTTTCTGTAAGCGATTCCTGTACAGGCGCTCCGTAACCACAGTCTGTGATTTTTATCTGTTTTACACACAAGATTGCTTTGTTTTGATTTAACTTTCAAAATTACTTTGCTTTTTCTGTGTGAGAATAATTTAGGGGAAGGTTAATTTTAGTTGAGACTAATATTAATAGGTTGAAAGAGGCTTATTCAAAATAAAACCACGACTTACTAAAATGAAGAAAGCGCACGCAGGGCTAAGAAATCACTTCAAGGTGGGAAATCTCATGTCAGCCAGGTGTCACTACCAGCCTCAGTACGACCAGAGAATGTGGTCAAAGTGACACCAGTAAGGGGACAGGTCCCAACTGCTTCCAGACCTGGCAGCGTCTGAGAGGAGACATCTCCGCCCAACCCTTTGAGGACATTGGGTGGACGGCGGTAGCTGTGACACTGAAGAGTCTCATCATGAGACGAATCTTTCCAAGTTTTTTAGGGTTCTGCCTGCATCTCAAACGTAAAGGATGTGGGGGGTGTTCGAAGGAAGCCGGGGAGGGGGTGGGGGCCATGCAGGAAATTTTGGCAAAAGGAACACACCCGATCCCTGACAAATGAGAAGACGCTACTACTCAAGAAGGACAATGGGATGCCTGCCCTCTCAGGCAGCGCGCATGACAACATGGCACACGCTTTTAAGCCAGCGAGAAACTGCTTTTGGACAACATTCAATGGAGGAAGCCATTACGACTGAACTCCAAGGCCACGCCAGTCCCGAAAACCCTTGACCACTGGCACAGCTCAGCAGGTGCGGCCCATGGCTCAGAAAGAGCTGGAGGACGGGCAGACTCGCTGCCCTCTAGCACCTGCAGCCGTACCCATCAGCTCGCTCATGGGAGCATGCGGTAGGTGCCCGATGACGCCAGTGTGGGGCAGGTGGTACAAGGGTGCTGGTCGGTGAGGACCGCTGGCTGGCCTCCAGCCATCAGTGCTGAGCACACATCAGCACAGCCAGCCGCAGATCTCAGTCTGCCCTCTGGCACTGTGAACACACACAGTTCTGCTGTTTAACCCCCCGTCTAATGTACTGTCACTGCAGCCCTAGCAAACGAATATACCAGTTCACGCTTAAATGAACATTCTTGGTCCTTCCCTTTTTAAAGAAACAACACTTCTTAGATCAGACTTGTGTAATGCTGTTTTAATCTAACTCATAAAAGTACTTTAGGAAAATACATTAATGGGATGCACTTGGGTAAAGGAGTTTTTAAAAAGAAAAACTGAATATGCTACTAAGTACAAACAATTCATGCATTAAGGTGATCTCTTTTGCTCTCTCTCACACACACACAATCACAAGTGCTTGAAGTGTAGAACCCCATCCTGTTGGGTCTTTTTATCTCCATGGTCTAGCAGGAACAATATTCTTTGGGGTTACTGACTTTTATGGCCATCCCATGTGTCCAGAAGATGACTCCTTCAACATTCAGCTTTGTGTCTCCCTCCAGGAACCAACTCTGACAGTCCATGCTCCTGTCTGGGTCAGGGGCTCCTGCAGCCCCCAGGCCTGCTTGCACGGGACAGGGGGTGTGCTGGGGCCTGACTCTGAAGGCCGTGTCTGCACCCACTAGGCCCAGTGGGCAATACCTGTGTCTTCAGCAGCAAGTGCAGAACAGCGATGCATGGCCCAGCCCAAGGGCTACCCGTGGGTGCTACCAACAGTGACAGCGGTCTGGAAGAAAGCCACTGCCACCGCCCTGCCTCTGGAATCAGGAGTCAAGTTCCCACTTTGCAGGTAAAGAACACCTACATATTCCAATAAAACGGGAGGCCTGTGCCAAAGTGGAGTCAAGATGCGGAGGGGGCCTTCCTGTCGAAAGAAAAGTGCAACAGCATCTCTATGAACCTTACACTCTGGTGACGAAGAGCCATACAAATGAACAGGGTAAGAGGACAACAGCAATGCACAGGTAAATAAAATGGCAGGGAGGGCAGCGCTTGCCAGAGAGGCAGTGGGGCCCCGGGAGAGCCAGGGCAGGAAGGCGCAGAGCTGGGACAGGCTTCCCTGGTGGAGACTCAGGTACTCTTCCTGAAGATCTGAAAAATGTCCCTGGAGACAGTGTCAAGAGCATTCCGCAGGGAATCCCCAAATAGAGGACATGGGCTCAAGCTGGGTGGCAGCTAGGGATGGGGCTGTGCCAAAGGAACACCCTTGAGCAGGGTCCGGGCAGACTTACCAGGAGCTGGGCCACTCTGAGCCACCATGGCCCTGAAACACAGGACTCGGGCTGGGGCTGGGGCTACCTCTGTCTGCAGCAGCCAAGAGGAGGGAGGATGACTGGATACAACACCAGCCGCCACAGTGGTGTCTGCACAAGCACCACCTTCAACTTACACTTGAGATGACCGACCAAGTATCGGAACTTAATTACTATTTTAATGCAAAAATAATCAGAGCAAGACATCCTCTCTTGCCCAAACCAGGGAAGCAGGTATGCAGATACAAAAAAGACCCCGACCCAAGGCTGCCCGCAGAAATGGTCAGGGTAACCACTGCACGCAGCTCTGGATCCAGCTCCACTCTCCTGTGGGCAGAGACGAGCCCAGCCCACCCAAGATACACCAGGCCTTTGGACTTTGTGTGCCCTAGCCCGGGGTCCGGAAGAGTCCCTCACTGCCACCACTCAACAAAATGATGTGCCAGACTCCTTTCCAGTCTTCACAACAATGCTGTGGGCCAGTATTGCTCTCTTCCACATTTCACAGATGAGGGGACAGACCAAGCTCGTGGACTCAAAATCAAGTCAACTCAGACTTCAGCACAGGGTAGAACACACAAGCTCACCAATCCACGCTCCAAAGGCTGGGCTGAACACCACTGGGCCGAAGGACTCAGAAAGTACAACACATATACATTCCCATTACTCAAGGGAGCTTAACCATAGAAACACACAGATGGGCACAGTGCAAAAAACACAAAAGTTAAGAGAGATCAGAAATGACATCAAGAAAGAGAGACTTACCCTGGGAACCTGAGATCTAATGCCAAAGAGCCAGAGTTTAGCTAAGAGTTTTCTGGCAGTCAAAGTAACACGGGAAACATGGCCCGATCTTCACCATTATATCCGAGAGCTCAACAGCAAATTCTAAGAGACAAACGAAAAAGCAAGGAATACCGATAGAACTCTGAGACACACAGCAATTTTTAAGCTAATTTCAACACTGAATATCTAAGAGGTCTTAAATTTTTTTTCTCCCTTTTTAAAGGGATGTATCTTTGACTGGTAACATGTTAAAAGAGATGGAATTCTGGACTGTGAGACTCAGACAGGGAACGTCTGCTCCAGATCGGCATGGTGCCTGCTTCCCTAGGGGCTGTCGCGGCATCTTCCGGGAACAGGGCTGGGTGTTGTTGCCATAATCCAAGGTGACCAGGGTGGGGGGCGGGGAGCAGAGAGTGGCCCCAGCGATCCTGATGGAAGACCACCTCTACCCATTCATAACCCCCGTCAATCTAAATAGTATTTTTCATGACAAGTGACAGAGATCAGAAAGGAAAAGGGCCTGCCTGTGTGGAGCATCTTTGGGAAGATATGGGGGTCTCTCCACCTTGGCCCAGATTTTAGAGCACCTGCCTTCAGGTGCCAGGCTGCTGCTGCAGTGCCGCCCAACTTCACTTTCTGCTCATCACCACGGCC